ATATTAGATATTAGATTGGATAGATTGGATTGGATTGGATCGAATATCGAATGTTCTCTCTTTCTTCACTTACCATCCGTATTAAAGATCAATGGCTTCCATTTTGGATTTTTCTCATCCTTGATTTCCGCATTTACTGCATTTGCTATGTCCAAACAAGCATCTTGATATTTTCTAGAATCTTCTTTCAAAGTGCACTCTTTTTTTTTGTTTTTTTTTTACCGATACGAGTCGACCGATCTTCGATTCGTAACAGCAATTTGCAAAAGAACATCTTTACCGATTCGATCCGGATATTTTTCAAAATATCTAAAAGAGAAATGAAGATTTGATAGTTAATAATTTTGATAGTTAATAATTTTGATAGTTAATAATTAAGTTAATAATTTGATAATTAATAGCTTTGATAATTAATAACTTTAATAATTAAAAAACCTCCTCCAAGCAGTCAGCTTTTCTTTGATTCCTTTTGTGTAATCAAAGCGCTCAACGGAGAAAAAGAATCGACCGCCATCGGGAGAATTTGAAAGAATCTAAAGTTTTTCTTGACAAAATCGGTTTTAAAGTGTTTATCACTTCTTTCCGAATATCCATTGAAAGGATTTTTGTTTGATCTTGAGTGGCAATGCCAAGAAAATCCTCATTTTTGATTGAAACGGGGAAAACTCCGAGGGAACAGGCAGCGTTTGCCTGAAAGAGAAACATTGGTAATAAAAAAGTCCAACTCAGTCTCGTCCAACTCAGTCTCGTCCAACTCAGTCTAGTCCAACTCAATACCGATATTTTAAAGCTAGTTAACTTCAATCAAATTCAAAACCTCATAGTTGACGGTGAAAATGTCAACCGTCTCTTCATATTGAATCCGAGCTCTTGGGATATGCTTCTCGACAAGGCTGATGTATTTACGACGATCACGATCCGTTTGAAATCCCACCTAAATAAAGATTTCTATAGTAGGCAAATGATGGAAAATGCAAATCCTTTTTAATCTTTCTAAACCTTTTTAAATCTCAAAATCGCTCGAAGAATTGGTTCAGCGACGGCTCGATATTTTGTCATAAAGTCATCTGGTGGTTGAAATGGGATATGTAGAAAGAAGGCGACCTGAAAAAGTTCTTTTCATTTCTTTTCCACTAAGGCCATCATCAAAAAGTTCTGGCTAAGAGCCTTGTTTCTAAGACGATGGTCAGTTCGAGAGGCTAAGGGTTCAATCCCGGCGGCTCGATTATTGTTTCCTTTTTCCGTTTTTTCCGTAAAGTTAGACTACGCAATTGTACGCCCATCATTATGGGGAAGCCGTTCTATTAGAGTATTTACAATATTTTACACTGGCTTTTTGCTGATTCATTGGAATCAACAAGGTAAAAGTTTTAAGCAAAAGAAATGTGCCAAGCAAAAGCAAAAGAGATGTTGTTTTGCACATGAAACTTCAACAAACTCACATCATATTTATGGAAAAAAAGAATCAATAATCGAGCGGGCGCGATTGAACCCTTGGCCTCTAGACTAACCATGGTCTTAGAAACAAGGCTCTTAGCCAGCCGGCCATGATGGCCTTAGTGCAAAAGAAATGAAAAGAGCTTTGAAAAGTTTTAAGCAAAACTAATGTGACGAGTTTTGCACGTGAAACTTCAACAAACTCACATTTTTGTTGATTCCAATGAATCAGCAAAAAGCCACTGTGAAATATTGTAAATGCTCTAATAGAACGGCTTCCCCATAATGATCGGCGTACAATTGCGTAGTCTAACTTTGAGCGTCTCATTCTCCGTGCTGCTTTATGCTACAGTGTGGGCTTTGGTGTCAAATGATAGCTCTTGAAATCTAGTATTTTTAAATACCAAAAGTGTAGTTGAGAAAAGTAGTTGAGAAAAAAGATTTTCTAAAAAGAAGGACTACGCGACTGTACGAGCAGGTGGCGTAAGACTACGAGACTATTTTTCTAAAAAGAAGGACTACGCGACTGTACGAGCAGGTGGCGTAAGACTACGAGACTATTTTTCGAAAAAGACCACGAGAAGGACTACGAGACTGTACGTCTTTTAGAGTATTTAGATGTATGGGTTTTTCCCTAAATTTATGGCTTAAGGATTGTGCTTTGTATTGTTTGCACGATATTATTCGTTTGAATAAATCTATTCTTTAAACCTCCAAATCCGAATCCAGTGATCTCATCAATTGCCCAACAAGCATCAAATGATAATCATGAATCCAAATGAAGTCCTGAGGTCGACTATTTCTTGCTGCGTTGATAGCAAATTGAAGGTTGACACGAACATACGAACACCAATGCTCATCAAGAATCTGAAAGGGATTTAGTCGTCGTGTTTTTCGGAAGACCCTTAAATCATCGTAAACAACCCTTTACAAACCCTTAAATCATCGTAATCTTGTGCAATGTATTGAGGAAGATTGTGCAAAGCTGGCCAGAGGATTCCATTTGAAATCCCTCCATAATAAGCATTATAATCATCTTGATTTACGAATACGGGATTTAGCTGATAGTTTGTCTTGTTGTAGTCATGAAGGACGGAAAGCAAAGACATATCTCTTCTGAAATTTCAAATTAGTCAATAAAAGTTGGGTAGATTTTCTAATGCTGGTTGAACTCGTACTCGACTTGAGCTTGTTGTTCCGTTTCAGCCTTGTTCGCTGAGTTCTCCTCGAGAACGTGAAAGATTTCACCAGCTCGAGCTTGTTTGATCAACGGAAGACCCAGTGAATTGGTGCTTGGTGGAGGATCCTCAAATAGAGATAAACCAAAAACTAGCGACATTCTCAATTGATGATTTTCAAAGCCTCTCACCTCGTCAGAAGAGTCATCAGCTTGTGGATTGATTCCAAGATTCGCGAGCCAAATATTTTCTTTATCCACAGACATCACCGGATCCACGCAGGCCACCAAGCCACCAGATCCTTGCTTGATCTCCCAGCAACCGCTGCTCCGTCTATTGATCGAGACTGGAGGAGCGTTTGAGACGTTGATCACTCTTTGCTAAACCAGTTTTAAGATCTGATTGTGAGAATTTGCTCCTGGAAGTACAGCAAAGCATGAAAGCAACCTTCTGAGCTGGTGTTTCAACAAAAGCCGAAACAACCGCGTCGTCTAGCAAATCATTGTTCAACGAATCAAGTTTTTCGGATGAGTCAAGGCTGAAAAGATCTTCAGTCGATCCATGAGTTGAGTTCACACGGGAATTTGTTCGACTTCTTGTCACCTAGGATTTGTAATGCATCAAGACAGGTTTTAGCCCTAGTCATAGCTCTAATCTTAGCTCTCTTCATAGCTCTCTTCATAATTCTCTTCATAGCTCTAATCATAGCTTTAATCATTAAGCCTTACCTGCATGTGCTGATACTTCTCTCCAAATCTCTTTGCATGAACTCCCAGCATACTTTGCCGGACCCCCGGAACAGCTGCGTAAAGCTCTCTAAATACGAACGATGTCAAGATCTAGTGGCGATCTTTTGTTTGTTTGATTCTTTTGCCTGCTTCTTTTGTTTGATCTTTTCAAGCAACCTCATTTTGTTCTTGCTGTTGTTGACATCATAGAGAGCCAAGCTGAACAACAAGCCATCTCTGTGCTGGGTCCCATAAGTCAAATCAGAATCGTAGACCTAGATCCAGATAAAATAAGGATTTTTTTAAACGATACGGCCCACCGGTGTACGTAATTTCACCCTTTTTCGCGTCTGCCTACTTTACGACTTCAAACTGAGCAAAATCCCATCGAGATCCGCGGAATCCCATCGAGATTTGGTCAAAGCATTTGGGAACGATGTATTGTCCGAAAGCCGATGCCGAGCCTGGTTCCAGCGCTTTTGGAATGGTGATGAAAGTCTCGAGGATGATGAACACTCTCATGGACCTCAAGCGGTAGACAACCATATTTTGAGGGCTGCAATCGAATCGGATCCATGTCAAACGACGCGTAAACTTGCTCAACAGTTTCTATGTTCAAATTCTACCATTGATGAGCATCACCACGCCATTGGAAAGACGATCAGATGCGGGAAATGGCTTCCTCACGAGTTAAGCAGTGCAAACGCTCATTTATATCCGAACAACCTAATAGCTGTCGTCAGAAATGGCAGCCAAGCCAAAAATGAGTTTTTCTTGAATGTGTAAAAGTTCTTACGAATGGAACGGCAACTCTCCAAAACGCGACCGATCCAAAGCCGAGAATATTGATGAGAGATTCGAAGAGCGCCGATTGTTGAGACCATTGGGTGAGACAAAGCTCCAAGATTGATAGAACTCCCTGAGAAAGTATTTATAGTAACTAGTTTTACTTTTCACTACTTTGAAAGCGATTTCCGATTCTTTCCCTCGTTGCTTCCAGAGATTCACCACTTGAACACAAGTCGCTTGGACGAAAACACCGCCGTCAAATTTCGGATCAATGCTTGCACTCTTTCCAAGTCGATCCAACACTTGTACGAGGATCTGAAATTGAATTTTATCAATCAATCAATCATTAACTTTATCAATCTTTTCTATTCCATACCTCAACACATTTTGTCAACGGATCATTCTCACTTTTTCCATGAAACGGCACGAGGATTTCCACTTGTTCGACCATTTTTTCCGAGAAAATTCTCGTGTCGACTGCAGTTTTCTGAAAGAAAAAGTTTGGGAAATCATTAATTTTTGTAAAAAAACCTCGGTAACCATGGAAAAATCGTTGAAATTCGGAAACGATAGAGTTTTGGGGATTTCTGAAAAAAGGGCAACATGAGAATGTTGAAAAGAAGAGAGAAGAAAAGAAAAGAAGATTAATGGGGAAAAGGGAACACTCGGATGTTGTCAACAAACCAGTGAAAGGATAAAAAGAAATTGTTTTAAAACAGATAAAATAGATTTAATTGAGCATTCAGAGGGTTTATAGATACTGGAAGATGATCTCAAAATTTTCCAATAATGAAAAGCATGTTTTGAAAGATATAAAAGGCGTTCTCTCCGTGGTGAAGTAAACAACAAGGGGCAGATTAGGGAAAAGGGGAAGGGAAAGAGAAAGAGAGAGAAAGAGAAAGAGAAAGAGAAAGAAAGAGAACAAGAAAGAGAGAAAGAGAAAGAGAACGAGAAAGGGAAAGAGAGAAAGAAAGAGAGAAAGAACGAGAGAAAGAAAGAGAGAAAGAAAGAGAGTTGCAGACGGGAATCAGAAAAACACCGATCCCTCTCAATTACCGGAAAATGCAATCACATAAATAGCTTCTTTTTGTGTCAAAAACTTTACACTTAGAGAAAAAATACTGTGAAACTCACGTGAAAATCAGACTTGACTAAATGTTTTGAACTAAAGACGTGCTGGATGAGAAATTTGATACCATGAGATCTCTGAAAGTCACCAAGAAATGGATCCAAGATAAAAGAATCATTAAATGATTGTGATCATTAAAAAGGAAATGATTGATGACTTCTATTTTTGGGGATTGGCCTGATTGAGCTGTGATTTTCTTAGGAATAAGAGCTCTCCTCTTTAGTCAAGATTTTCTAAGATTTGAGTAAACTGGATATTTCAGAGTTTTGGATTTTAACGGGAGAAGAAGGCAAGGTTTTTGGTAAAAGATTTGACAAAGAGTAATCAAAACCAAAGCGAATATAATGATCAAATGAAAAGTCAGCTCAGCTCAGCCAGATCAATTTACCTGATTACCTGACAAATTTGACTTTATCTCTCTATTGACTCAATGAATTGCATGGATTTTCCGATCGAATTTGTTTTGCTGAATGTTCTTTTCCCTTTTGAAAAGAGTAAATATTTTAGGCATCCAGGCTCAGCGCTGCACTTTGGTGACAATTGATGAAAAGATGGTAAAAGATGAAATAAAAGAGAGAAAGTTTTGTTTGCAAGACAATGTTTTGCAAGACAAGAATATGCGTGATTTAGTAAGAATTGAAAAAGGTAGATTAATAAGAGAAGAAATTGATGAATACTGCTTAAAAAACAGTCAAAGCAGATCTATTCTTAGCACAAACCTATTCATAGGCATTACCAAATCTTTTCTTTGCACAACAACTGCACAGGTGAGCTTCTGGAAAAGAATGTCAAAGAAAACAAACTCTATTAGGGACTTGCAAAAGAAACTGCGGATTACTTCCGAGAACCAAAGTTTTTTATTTGAAAGTGTGATGGTCCGGTTTAAATTGTATTATATTGTATTACTATTGCTTATTCATTTTAATTATTTTCACAGCTATTGCTATCATTGAATATCACATAATTTTAGGTACAAGATGACGGATCAAAAACTAGTGTTGCTGGCCTGTCTTCTCTATGACTTCAAAATGAAGAAATCAGCATCGGAGTCGCACCGGAATCTTTGTGAAGCATTCGGAGAAAACATTTTGAGTGAAAGGACTTGTCAGGAATGGTTTCGACGTTTTCGTAAAGGAGATGAGAGCTTGGAAGATGAGCCGCATGGATATCGTCCAGTTGTCCTCGATAATGCGGAGTTGCTGGAGATTGTCGAGTTGGATCCAACTCAAACTTTGCCCGAATTAGCCGAATACTTTAAATGTGATTCGAGCACAATTTCTCGACATCGTGCGCTTATTGGAAAAAGGAATCGTTGTGGTCAATCGGTCCCACATGAATTGTCCCCTGAAAACAAAGCCAATCGAGTTTTATTGTCTCGATTTTATTGAAAAAGGCAGTGCTTTTTTTGAAAGCATGTTGACGATGGACGAAAAGTGGATATATTTCAACAATTCAACACGCAAAAGACAATGGTTGTGCAAAGGAGAAAGGCCGATTCCGACATCACATCCAGAACTTCACGGAAAGAAAGTTATGCTGTCGGTCTTTTGGAATATGAAAGGAATCGTTTATTTTGAACTACAAAAATCTTCAAAAACTATAACTTCTCAAATCTACGCCGAACAGCTGAAGAAAGTTGATGAAATTCTACGAGAAAGAGGTGTTAATGCAAGGACAATCCATTTACTCGCTCACAATTTCCGGGTACACACATCAAACTTGGCTCAAAACACCATAGAAGAATTAGGCTGGAAACTTGTGCCTCATCCGCCCTATTTGCCTGATATTGCTCCCTCAGATTACCAATTGTTCCTGTCTATGCAACACTCTCTTGCAGATCTAAAGTTTAACAATCCTGAAGAAGTCTAAATTTGAGTGCAAGACTACTTTGCAGCGCCGGACCCCGAATTTGACGAATCAGACATCCGAAGTCTACGCAAAAAATGTAAGAACATAGTTGATAATAATGGCAAATATCTTTTGGAATAAAGTTATTTTCTTATTGATTTTTGGGTTGTTCAAATGTTGGTTATAATCCGCAGTTTCTTTTGCAAGTACCTAATATTACAGAGAATGGTTGTAAAAGGTTGGAAGAAAAGATTCAATTTGAGAAAGCTAAAGAAAGAAAGAAGCCATTTTTCGATCTAAATCTGATGATCAAAAAGCTTGACTACATTTAAAGCATTTAACATCTCATTTCAACAATTTAATATACATGTTACTTCCGAATCCGACCAGGCGTCCGGATCTGATGCGGACGTCCGAATCCGGCCGTTGATTATCTTGTGGTCGGTCTCCACAATCCGATAAATGCCAATTAACCAACTTTTAATGCTAATTAAGCAAATTTATTATACATAATTATTGAAGGGGTATTCCTCTAATAGACGGACATCTTGTAAGTCACTTACACAATTGTTGCGCCTTGGTTAGCCTTTATAAAAAACTAGTTTCTTAAAAAGATTGATTGACATAAACTCATTTTGATCCGCAATACAACCATTAACAACATTAATAAAATTAGTTAGCAACTGTCTGAATTTCAAGATACAACAAAAAAAAACTAAATGAAAAACAAAGTCAAACAACAATCAACTTAAACAAAGCCTCGTTTTATTACGCACATAATGCATGTTACTGAAAGCCTCATTCTGAAATTGAAAAGAGCCAAAACAAGAAAAAAAAAGATCACTTGTTAGTACAACTTCTTGCATGGTGGCATCTCGAGTTGCAAACTAGACTCTTCTTTCGACAAGCACATCGATTTGTCGTATATCCGCTCAGGCACAAGCAATGAGCGTGACCTAAAATTATAATATTTTAGCTGCGGTAAAAACATATGAATTTGTAAGAAAAAGAAAAAAGAAAGATTATAAGTGCAAATAAATGTGCTTACCTTGGCCCCCAGAGATCGATGCTGCCCCAACAGCAGTTCTCAACGATGTCTCCTCGTCCGGAATTGAATTGATCGAGAAGAATTCAGCTCCACATGGAGCCAGTTGTTTTCTAGTGAATGTTTGCCGAAGATGCCCATTTTGTGTCCCGATCGAGTAAAAACCATCAGTTACAGCTAGAATTTCTTTTTACATTTAGAAATAAATTTAAAAGTACCTGTGACGACTCCCATCAAATTTCGTGGTCCAATCTTGGGTCGATCGACACAAGGAATTGGCATCAAAACATTTTGTCCAACATCAATTGGTGCAAATCTAGAAGTAATCATAATGAAAACATTGAAAACGCAAAAGTACCTTTGTTCACTGGCGTGAAGCATCTTTCGTGCATGATTCTTCTGAGCAGAATGGGCTCCATGTCTTTCCATCATGATCGAATCGTGTAGATAATCGATTTCCGCTGGCTCCTCATCTTTTTGAACACCTAAAGCGAAATAGTGTTTAGTAAATATTTTAAAAAGCAAACCAAGCATTGCATCAACAATCCCAAGTTGAAAGTCAGCGTCATTATTCCTCTGATTTGCGAATTCAGGAAATTCCTAAACAATAACGTTATTTTTATGTATTTAAAACGTAATTTATACCTCAACACCACTCTCAATTGAATCCATGAAGCTTACAGGTCGTAGATCGGCGTAACGAGTAGAATTATCTTCCTAAAGTTGCAAATAAAGAAAAAAAAAATCAAGATTTAAATTAACCTGAAGCGTTTTCTCCTCCTCCTCGTAGGCACTTGTTTGCTGGATTTCGTCATCGTCTGACAAAACCTAAACCACACAGTTTACTTCAAATATTCCAGACCTACAAATATTTCAAACCTTACTTCTTTCTTAGTAATCGCTGTAGCATTTTCCGAGTCTCGTCCAAACATTGCAACATATGGGCTAGGTACAATACCGGAATGAAATCTATCGACAAAATTTAAATTTCCAAAAAAACTAAAGTTACCTGATGTTTTTACGATATTGAATCAAGGGCAAAAATCGGGCCCACTCGGTAGTTTTTGTTTCTCTTTGATGAACGCTCAAGATATCCTAAACGACCACAAGTATTTTTTTATGAGCAGCCAAACTAACCTCGATATCCGCGTTTGCTCGCTCTACACTTCCTTGTGACTGCGAATGGCGCGGTTTCCCGTGAACAATCTTGCAACCAGGCCATTGAGCGACGGCTTATTCCAAGAATTTATTTGCAAACTCTCTGCCATTGTCTAAAAGCAAAAATAAAAAAAAGATGCTATAGTTTTTATTTTACCCCCCCCCCCCACCCCTCCCTCCTATAGCCCCATCAAAAAATGCAAAAATGCAATAAATTTTATGAAAAATTCCGATTTACTTTTAAAAACAGCTTACCTGTCTGAAGAATTTGTGGAGGGCCAAAGGTTCAAAAAATCGATACGATGTTTTCGACTACTTCTTTTGCCGTTTTTGTCTTCAGAGCCCTCAACGAGACGAATTTTGTGAGGTGATCCTAAAATAAGAAGTATTAACATAAATAAACAAAGCTAAACTTGAAAAACCAAAAAAAATAATCTACCTGGTAAACGAAAATAAACTTGTAATCGCCATCTGGAGCACTTTGCATGTCGATCAAATCAACTTGACATCGCTGGTTTTGGTGGCTAGAAATGATCGGCTTCACAACTATTCCTTTCTTTGGAAGCTTCTTCTTCAATTGACATTTCTCGCATTGATCCACGAAAATCTTCAGTACTCTTTTCGATTACCATAATAATTTTGGAGGGCTTTCCAAATTAAACCGATTCCAGCGTGTCCAAGTGCTGAATGTTTCTGTCGAAGCAATTCATAGAGGTCCTCACGCTTGATGACTTTCTTCCCGTCGTTTTTCTTGGCTCCATCACCATGGTGCAGAAGAATTATTGTCCCGTTTTCGCTGAATAGAGAGAAACGCCGGTGAAGATTTCGTTCTTCAGTTAATTTCCAATTTACTGATGTTAATTGAAGTGTTTTGATCATCTTCACATAGCCTGCATTAGACAGGAAAACTCCAGTGTGTCGCTCTTGCACGAATTTCTCGAATTGATCGTTAAAAGCAATCATTCTGAAGACCAATGACCTAAAAAGAAAAAACATTAAAGTTTAATTATAAATATCAGCTACTACATGTCTACCAAGAAAATGAGCAACAATTTTTAAAAAAACGGTCAATTTTTGATAAACGCGGTGGTTCAGGGTGGAATGAACATTTTTTTAGCAAACATGGGCGAAGATGCGCAATATTTTAAGAGTTATTGGAAACTCACAAACTATATTACTTCAATTTCTTAGCTTAAATTTTGCGTGGGTGAAACTATCATAGTTGAAAAATTATAAAAAATTCGATGAATCAAGTGGGATCAATTGACATTTATCGGATCGTGGTCGGATTAGGACGTCCGAAACCGACCACAAGATAATCAATGGCCGGATCCGGACGTCCGGATCAGATTCTGACGTCCGAATCCGACCACACTCATTCTGGTCGCATTCGGACGTCCGGATCAGATCGCCTGGTCGGATTCGGACGTAATATATATATATGTCGTAGCCAATTATGAATGAAATTTTTTGATAAATCTTTCTTGTTAGGTTTGTTAGGATTCAGACGTGACTCCACTTTATGTGTCTGTATCTCCAAAACTAGTTGACCGATTTTGATGATTTTATTCTCTTTTTGTCGAGCAAGACTTGTGGATTCTTAAAGTGAAGTTACACGGGGGAAAAGTTAATTAATTTAGTAAAAAAAATATGAAATCAGTTCGGATTCGGACACTAGTTCGGATTCAAACGCAACATATTAACTTGTATCATCTACAGAACTTACTGTTAGAACAATGCAAATCTTTATTCAACAAGCAACTTATGTTCAAGGCAAGGCAAAGAGAGAAAGTCAATATTTCGAGTGCAAAGGGTTAGCAACACTATTTTATTTGAAAAACAAAGATCTAGAAAGGAAAGAAGTATATGGAAATTTCAAGTTGACAAACAAAAAGGCTCATCAAAACAAAAGCTTTGTCATAGACAAAGCTGATGATCCTTCAAAATAACAAAGAAAAGCACAAACAAATCATCTTGAATCGTAAGAACCGTAATCAAATAAGGCTAGATCTCGAAATCAAGAAAAAAAAACAACAAATGGACTGAAATCTAAGTATTACTCAATTATGCAAAGTTGAAAAAGGCTTGATTGCACGAAAGGCGCTTCTTGTTGGAGCAAAATTGTGAGCTGCGAAGACCTATCTATCCTTAAAATAAAAGAAAACTTTAGAAATAAATAATCGAAACAATAAGCTTAATATTCATCATAATTTTGCTGTTCTTGTCCACTGACCGGTCGAAGATTAAATACCCGAACTGTGGCTTGAGCCATTGCGCCAAGGAGAACCTGGAAAGAAGGATGAAACCGGGGTCAGAATCAATTCTTTAGAGATTCTTAGTGTAAAGTTTGATTCTGAATCTTTTTTTGCATTTCAAATTATTATTAGCTTACCCCCGGACACGAAACAAAAGCCACATGCGAATTTCCGTATTGAAGACAGAGTGAGATGACCTGAAAATGATCGGTGATTCAATTCCAATGATAAGAATTACCTTTTGTCTCAATTTCTCGTCTCGTGTCACCCAAATTGTGAACACTTGCTCTTTTGCATGTTCAAGACATACTTCCAACATTGGCAAATCATTCTCGGAGTCTCCACAGACGAGAATGTTGCCTGAATATCCTTCCTTCAATTCTTTCTTCAATCCTTTCTTTAATCCTTTCTTCAATACTTTCTTATACTTATTTCTTTATTATCATCATTTCATTACCTATTGTCAACTTCAAATTGAGCTTTTTCTTCAGCAATCTCACTCCATTTCCTTTGTTAAAGATTTTACCATTGATGTTCTAAAACAGAATAAAGTTAAATCTCGATAACAAAAACTAAAAGTTTACAAGCAGACTTTTCCGGATCTCGACGAGTAAAATTGGTGTAATTTTAACCTCGATAACAAACATTACGACTTTCCACACTTCACTAACAAAGGAAGGTCAACTGGGTGTGCCGGCTAAAGCCAATTCTACGCGCCATCCGTTCGACCATTAACCATTAACCATTGTTCTCCGTTTCAAATACAACTTTAGTTTAAACTCCTTCTCAAACTCTTTTTTTGGTATTTAATAATAACTGTTTGGTGTTAATAGTTCGAAGTATCTGAAACGGAGAACAATTAACTTTGCAAATCCAAAAAAGCAAAAGAAAAAAGGAGAACAGCGGACTCGAACTAGAGATGCTTGCTTTGTATTCTAACCCACCCCTGCTTCTTAAAGCTCTGGGAAATCTGCTTATAAACTTGGGGTTTGATTTTGAAATTCCATACAAACTTTGCACGCTTATGACTTTTGACAGAGTGCTACTTAGCAAAAACGGAAAGCAGATTAGGAGTCAGCGGGAATTCTGCGTCGAATCGTCTATGGCTCATGTCATTTGACCGGCATACTCAGTTGATTTTCCCTTTTAATTAGCTGAATTCTATCTGCGCCACAAGATCGAGGAATTTTTCCAGAAGTGATCAATCAAACGAAACAAATGAAACAAACTAAGAGTGCTCAACTTTTATTAGTTTAGTTTCCTGTCGATTTTATAATTAGGTTGCTTTACATGTTGTTTTTTGCGTAAATTTAATCTTCTTTATGTAAATGGAAACATTGGTAGAGCCAAAGAGCATTTTCCTACATTTTTTTTACTGTTTTTCGAGCGTTTCTTAGCATTATGAGACTAAAGCTCGATAAGAAAAAGAGTTTCTCGAAATCCCTCGAGTTTTTTTTGTTATCGTTTTACTGTAATTGAGATTTTTAAAGTTTCCTACCTCGCTATCAAACGTTTTTGCGTAGATTTTCATCTCAAATTCCCCGTCTTTTAGCACTAAATTTTTCCCAGCAGGATCCACGTCGTTTACAATTTCTGACACTTCGTTAAACCTGAAATACTCAACTTTTCGTGGAACTTACAAAGTATTGGGTTGATGAATTAAAAACTGCGGGCTGTTGTCATATGTGACAGTTTGAGCACTTTCTTCAAAAGAAACCCATTTTGGTGTCAATGGAAAAATTGTAGAGAATCAAAAATCAAGCTTGTCCCATCTGTCGGGTCCGTGGACATTGACTCTCCACAAATCAAGGCTAATCTCAATCTATTGGGTTGGTGAATTGAAAACTGCGGGCGATTGTCGTATGTCACATTTTGAGCACTCTCTTCAAAAGAAACCCATTCTGTTGTCAATGGAAAAAATTGTAGAGAATCAAAAATGAAGCTTATGTCCAAATTTTCAGAACGATTCAAAAACTGGTTTTCAAGAAATGTCAAATTTACGAATTTTCACAAAACTTGCAACAAAACTTGCATTTTAAGCAAAACTACTAAGTGTATCTTTTTGGAAATGTGGCTATAAGCCTAATTTTTGATTCTCTACAACTTTTCTATTGACACCAAAATGGGTTTCTTTTGAAGAAAGTGCTCAAACTGGGAGTCCAGTCCTCCATTCTCAAAGTCCAGTCCTCGATTTTTGAATCTCACACTTGTCTCACACACAAACCAAAATCCTACTACGAAAGAGGAATCCGCAAATTGCCGGTAAAATGGGCAGAAGTTGTCAATAATAATGGAAATTATTTGGAATGAATTGATGGTTTTATGTTCAATAAATTTTAGTTCAAAGTCCCGCAGTTTTCAATTCACCAACCTAATATTTGAATATAAAGTTTCTTTGAAATCCCAAACTTACAACATATTTCCAAGCGCTTTTTGCATGCTCTTCTCTTGGTTTTGCCGAGCGATTGTAATATGCCCATAATGTTTTTGAAGACCCGAACCAATCCAAGTGAAATTTCGGAATTGAGGCTTTGCCAAAAGATCTTCCACCTAGATTTTTGCGTAAAAACATGTAGACGGCTCCTTTTTGCTACCTTTTCAAAAGCTTGATTCAACAAATTCAAATCCTCATCGCTTAAGCTGTCATCTTTAAATTGCAAAGCCGGATTGATATACCATTCCCGGCCAGCCGACGCTCCATAAGCATAATAGCCTCAAATTCTGAACTTCGAAACCAATTCTCTCACACAAACCTTCAGGTAATGTGATCATGTTCAAGATTCCGATGTGAACAAGCGGACTTGTTGTCACAATTGCACAAACTTGAGCACATTTTCTCGCGAATTGAGCCTGAATGACAGCCGAGTAGGCAGGTTGGACACTTGTTGGATAAGTACAAGAATAACTCTTGAGAGTACCGTCTCGATCGGTAAAGAAATGTTGGAAATGATCTCCTGAAAGCTTTACGTTAGCTTAGAAATCTTCAGCTCATCAAAAGCTGCTCCCAACTTACCTTCATTTAAAAGAGCGCAAGCCTGAGCCACCTCTTCTTGGAAAATCGCTGGCCCATCGGGATGGAAACCGCTCAAAGTCTGAGAAAAGTAAGTTCATTGCCAACGTTGAACACTTGTACTGGGATTTATCCCTCACCTCAACAAAATTCTCGACATTATGCATGTCATCGCTTTGCACAAACTGCAAAAATGCGATATCCTTGTGCAGCTCAGAAAGTTCATCGTGAATTGCAAAAGTTATGTCGAGTTGTTGGCCATCATCTAAAAAAGCTATTCAGTAAAGATATTCATTGTCTACTGTCTACTAGCTATTAGAATTGCCATCTGATGGGTTGAATCGGATCCGATCCATCTGACAGAAAGGATAGGATTAGCTTCGGATCGGATTAACTCAAGATCATACTTTTTGCACTTACTAGCGAACTGCTCCAGCCCTATTTAGCTTTTTACCATTTATAGACACTTTAAAATACCTAAAACTTGGTTTTAGTGCCTTAACAAAAAAGCAAAAAGGCTTTGACAGCGACGGAATTGAACCAGAGCTAGTAGCAAACAGGGAATAGCGCGAAGGGCGAGCACACTATCCGCTACACCATTCGTTAATTTCGGGTAATTCGGCCTGATACCGTGGCGGCGCCGTTTCTCAGAAAAGTGCCCAAACTTCAAAAGCATTTTTCTCGAAAACTGGATGCTATGGAGTAAAACTGAAAAACACGTATCCTTTAGAATTTCACGATGCGTTTCTGCGCTAGGTCCCATATTCAAGGTCCCATTTCCCAAATCGATCCTAGAGTTGGAGCAGTTCCCTAGCTTCTTTTTTGGTTTTAAATGCAAATTTTGTATTATTTAAAATGCAAATTATCCGATTCAGTTAATTTAGTGAAGATTCAAGTTAAAATCAGTTTTTACTACGCGTTAGATCGGATTGGATCTGATCCGAACCGATCCGATTGAATCCGAACCGATCCGATTCGATTCGACTCGATCTGCACCGATCCGATCCGATTCGATCTAATTCGATCTGATCCGAACCCAACCAATCCGAACCGATCCGATCCGAACCGATCCGATCCGATCCGATCCGAACCGATCCGATCCAATCCAAACCGATCCAAACCGATCCGATCCGATCCAAACCGATCCGATCCGAACCGATCCGATCCGATCCAAACCGATCCAAACCGATCCGATCCGATCCAAACCGATCCGATCCGAACCGATCCGATTGAATCCGAACCGATCCGATTCGATTCGACTCGATCTGAACCGATCCGATCTGAACCGATCCGATTGGATCCGATCCGATCCGATCCGATCCTATCCGATCCGATCCGACAGGATTCAATCGAATACATGTCTACTGGTTACCATCATCTGTCTTCAGTGTCATTTGAGTGGTTCCATATTTGCAAGAGTTTTCGAGCGAGTTCTAAAGGTGGGAGTGAATTGCAGAAGCCACAAAACAACCGTTGCATTTTCTAGCGAAAGTTGAGCATGTTGTCGAATGGGAAGTCCCTTCATGACACTTTCAACGATCTGGCGTCGAACTTGTGCTGTTTTCTCCATGAGAACAAAGAAATCAGAGAGTTGAGACACCTAGAAAACCTGTGTTCTTGCAGTGAGCCAGTTGCCTGATTTACCGTAGTCATTCTGATCACTTCATGTGTCCATGACGGATCCAAAAAGGCTGTGCTCCACTCATCGATGTCATGGCTTTTCAAGAAATTGCTCAATCGACCTGAATTTTATCTGTTTGAATTCTCCTTGCTTTCCCTTTACTTCCATTTGCCACTTTCTCATCTTGTTCTTCCATTGCCGCCGAATAGAAAGCATCAGCAAACTCTTCAACATTTCCAATGTCAGCAACTCGATGATAGCACCGCTCTTCTTCTGTATAGAAACCAGCGCTACCGAGTTGGACATCAGTGCCAGCACCTGTAAAATAAACATATCCACCAGTAGAGTACTCCAGTAGATCCCAAAATCACTTAACACATTGGATCAAATGATGATGAGAGAATCAGTCCTGATACCTGATGAGAGAATCAGTCCAGCTTCCGGATTACAGATCAACATTTCCTTTGCCACGAGATTCATTCCATCTTTAGACGGAGTGACAACACCGATGTCCATAGCCAAGTAATGCGCAATTAGTTTGGCTCTTGGAAGTCCTAAATACAGTTTAACTTTAGAGAATATAGTCAAATTTTCAAGCAAAGCATTTTGTTAATTTTGTTAATTTGTCAGAGAAATAATTGGCCTTTCTAATGAAACAAATCGTAGTTCAATTTTATTCATATAATTCAATTTTTTTATTCATATAATGTATATGAATAAAATGTTTGGCTAAAAATCTTAGTTTATATATTAACTCTAACATGACACCACGACGCCAGTACAAAGTTTTAATTTTATGGCAAAAATCTGATGGTGGTGGTGGCTCAGGAATTTCTTGCATAGAGAGGGTCGTGATATGGTCAAAATCATGAAAAAACATCCAAATTTCCCGACCCCAAACAAAATCATTTTCGCACCATACCTACCACCTTGAGCCATCAGAAATATTTTTAAAATTTGACCCGACGTGGATTTTTTCTTTGGGACATGCTGTAGTGTCGTTTCTTGATTTTTTTGCTGCCCCTTTTTTTTGCTGATTTTTTTTTGCTGCCCCCTTTTACAGGCACTTGGGATCCCATTTCGACCGACGAAGAGCTCGCCATAGTGGTCAAAATGAGCCGGAATTGGGTTTGCCAATTCTACAACCGAGGTTAGTTTTGGGAAGCCCAAGTGCCTGTAAAAGGTTGCTGAAGGGAGCCGCTGTGAATTTTTGGATTCATCCCAAGGATTGCGGTCCGCAGGGGCAGCAAAAAAAAAAAATCAAGAAACGACAATATAGGATGTCCCAAAGAAAAAATCCACTTCGGCTCAAATTTTAAAAATATTTCTGATGACTAAAAAATTAGCCGTTGTCTACTGGCCGTTGTAAATTGACCGTTGTCTATCGGCCGTTGTAAATTTTAAACGTTGTAAAATTTAAAGTCGAATAACTCGGCGGGAAATGACGTTTTTTACAAACGGACTTCAGATTCAGAATCAGCGAATATTTTTTTACCTTAAAATAGGAGTTTTCAGCCCCTAGCTCAATTCCCCGAATAAAAGGCTTGTACAAACGGACAGACGAAGGACGTTATATTATATATATATATATAATTATATTATATTATATTATTATATTATATTATATTATTATATTATATTATATTATTATACAATATATT